TAAATGTCTTCTACGGCTGGAGCTCGTTTGTAAGGAAAACGCGTGAACGAGACTCATTGACTGTGTCAACTCTTCTGATCATCTAATCTGATAGATCTACCTTTGACTAATCATTTAGCAAAGTTAAAGGCGAATTCCCAGGCATTTAAACGCGTGCAGTAGTTTTGCTTTCGCTGAAGAGAGTCATGTTTTGACTTGCACGCATATCGTCACAGTAGATAATTTCACTCTCCTAAAACAATATTCAGAAGAACTTATGCAAGCATATTTTTATTGGAAAGTAAGCATGATGAGAAAAGCTCTGCTGCAGGAGTTTCAATAACTTGTCTCTACACAAAATTCACCCACACCTTCACATACGCTCATCCTCACTCTCAGCATCAAGGGACTCCTAGCTAACGTGGTATTCCCCTGACTTTGTCAAGTTCCTCGCAATCCTCCGTCTTCCGACGCTCCATGTCTCATCCAGGCTCTAAACAGGACAATATGATTTATAAATGCACCCACTTTTCTCGACAAGATAATAAACGACGTTTTCATTCTTCCTTCGGAATAGAGAGAAATATCAAACATTTTTCATTTCTGTTTTTTTTTACGAAAACATCTGGGCTCGGAGCATCTATCCTCCTTCTTCAAACAATTTCAGTATCGTCATTTCACTGTTTTTTTCTTTCTATGACTTTTTTAAGACCTCTGTGTTGGTGTTGTATGGAGATATATTATGCGTTAGTTTCCGAAATTTACGTTGAAAAAATGCTTCTGTTGAGCCTTTTCTCATTTAAATAGATTCGCGAAAAATATTTTTTCGATGTCCAACAATACGTAAGGTTCGACCAAGGTGAACTTTCAGCAAGCTCTCAGATCTTTTTCATTTGAATATGTTCTGGTAGAGGAGAGTCTGCTGCATCCAGTGGTAAACTTTAGAAAAAGCTTGTCTTCCCGGGCAAAATCGCAAAATGTTGAGTAGTCCCAAAAAACATCGAAAAATGATCCCTGCAGGAAAGGATCTAGTTCATTCCAATTTCACGATCTGTGGTGTTGTTTTCCGGATTCAGCATATCAACTACCTATACCTATGTTCTTTCGAAGTTCCTCGGAGAAGTTCTGAGTTTAATTAATTCTTTAATTAATTTTTTCACGCATCACAGCTTTCTCACGTTCCGATATGCCCAAGTTCAATAGACGACGATCTCATTCTCGCAGCACTAATCGAAAAACGAAGGTCCTCACTCATTCTTTCCTCAAGAAGAATACCGATGATTCTCCACTCGAAGATGAACTGGAAGAGTGGTACAGTGCAGATGAAGGTGAAAGATTCGATTTCTCGGCGAAAGAGATGCTCGACGACATCAGCGCCATATACAGCCTTTGTGCTGAGTCTGTGAACAACAGGTATTTGAGTACACTTATGTAGGTTACCCTTCGGCATCTGGGCTATCCTTGGCGAGAGGTCGATTCTTTTCTAAGCACTGTCGGCGGCACAAATCTGCCACAAGCACTCACTGACTTTTAAACAAAGATATCGACGAGTTTTGTGCTGACGGAGGTGGTAGAAGACAGATCGCTTCTTTTTACGACCAGTACCCGAAGCTGGAAGAGCTTGCTCGACTCTTCGATATCGAAGGATGCAGCCGGAAGGACTGCAGCTTCACGGTGAAGGAGCTCGTCGACTACATCGATGATCAATATTATATTCTGACGCGAGAAAGAAAAGGGGACCAACCCCTCGTTCGATCAGCTCAGAGTCTACGCCTCGACCTTCTTTGTTGGGGCATTCGATACTCAGCTAAAACGATCCGTCCTTATTGGATCGGACATGAACGTGAAGATGTGGTCGAACACCAAAAACGAGTCGTGAAGTACTTCCTAAGCCGGGAAGACCATTATTACATCGTCAGTCAAGGTGAAGATCCAAATTGGATTCTGCCAGCGCTTCCGATCCCATGATCATTTTGTGTAAGTCAAGTTTTCACTTTGAGTAGAGGGAAGGTTTTCTTTCTCTCTTTTCGACAGTCATGACGAGTCAACGGCAGAAGCTGGCAGAGTATTGGATGAGCGCTGCTTCTTTTGGACATCGAATAAAGGAATATATAGATTAAAAGATAGAAAATTTGTCTTTTCTGTAACGAGGAATGAACACTAGTCGACAATCAGCTAGGTCTGAATAGCTGAATAAGCTTTCCAGTTTTTTCAGCCCTGATTCAGATCTCACTAAAATGCACGTTCAAATTCCGAGCTGAAAATCCCGATCAGCTCGTTCAGCTCTGATTCTGGTGACGGAAGCAGAGCTGAGTTTTCTGAAAGGTTCAACTTCAGATTTTTCAGAGCTGATTCAGGTCAGAGTTTTCAGGTCTGAATCAGCTATTCAAAGAAAAACCTCCTGTAAACACCAAATTTTTTCTTGACTCCGAAAAAGTCAAAGTGTGTTTTCTAATGTCTTTTTATTGCATAAGAAAATCCAAAAATAGTTCAAAACTCTACAAACTGTTACAATTCATGAAAATAGAACAAAAAAACAACTTTCATTTACAACGTGGAATAATTGATTAGACCATAACCCAAAAGAAAACGAACACTAGGTCATCACATGGTGAAACTTAATAAATGCCTATAATTTCTGATTCAAGAGAATTGAAAACGTTTTTCTCTTTAGCAAAATGTAGTACTGATTCTCCTCTATCTACGGTATGAATTTGAAGAGGCAGCTGTTGATGGTTACCGAAAGACAACTATCTTACAATCGAACTGAAAATGAGGACCTGACAAGGAACCCAAATATAGGATAGGATGAGAAGCTCGAGTCTCAAAACCATGAACGGAAAAAACCATGAAACTTTTTTCGAAAATGAAAAATTTTAGGTTTTTCGAGGCCTTTTTTAGTATTTTGAGATTTTCTCAATGAAGAAAGGGATTCTAAGGGCTGGGAAGGTGATATTCGGGATCACCGTCAAACAAAAAATCAGAATATCTATAATAAAGAAGCGTTTGAGTGTTATATAAGCAGCACGGTGTGTCATAAGCATAAGAACTCCCTTTGTAGCCATTCGTAAATCAGGTGCAGTTCGGTGAAATGCGTTATAGGCAGGAGATATCCTGATTTCTTCAGAATTCTTTGCTCTATCGAGCTATACGGTTTACAAAATTTTGGGAGAAAAAACCATAGACTTGATTTTCGTACTCGCGCATCGTACTCTGTGAAAACTGGCTGAACCAAAAAAGTTATTTTCAAGTAAAAAGATTTTTACTTTCGAATGTGGATTTCTAGGAATCAGTCCCGACGTTTGAGCGACCGTATTCGAAGGACTCCAACGATTGAGCGAAAGGCACCACTCATAGCTCCTCACCCTCACCTCACACAGCCTCATCCTCTACGGATCTCCAAATAATTCAGTCATAATCGGACGAGAAAAAAACTGTTCTCATCATCGTTATTAATCGTTATCGAAGTGAATAATCATTCGACTTTCCTGATCGGCAAAAAGTCATATTGAAAAGTGTCTAATGTCGGAGTCGCTCAAATGTCGGTCACTCAAATGTCGGCGCTCAAATGTCGGTCGCTCAAATGTCGGTCGCTCAAGCGCCGGTTGACGCTAATTTTGCATGATCATTGTTATCACCGAATGCTGATCATCCAGCAAGTTTAGGCCCCTTTTCGTGGATGGTTCGTCACATATAAGTATTCCATTTCCTCTCCGTAAAATGCTTATCATTCCTGATCCAAGGGAATTGAAAACGTTTTTCTCTTTAGCAAAATGTAGTACTGATTCTCGTCTATCTACGGTATGAATTTGAAGAGGCACCGAAAGACAACTATCTTACGATCGAGCTGAAAATGAGGACCTTAGATATGAAGTGCTTTCCAAAGAAAATAACTCACTCTAGAAACATCATCTTGACATCAAAATTGCACCAAATACTGTGCAGTATCTTATAGACTCTTCAGCTAAAGTATGAAGATTAACTATTATACGGTTCCAGAAATTCGTTGCGAATGAGCAGGCGCTAATGCAACATACATAGGGAAACGAATTTGAAAAACTAAGAGACGCCGATTCTACCACAGCTTCTGTGATTAGTATGCATCAGAATTATGTAAAAATATAATCACAGAAATCTATCGGGAAAAAAACAGCAGGTGAAACGTTGTAAAAACTAGATTAGACTTTATTAGCAGTTTACGGAAAGGAAATGGAATACTTATATGTCACGAACCATCCACGAAAAGAGGCCTAAACTTGCTGGATGATTAGCATTCGAAAGAATGTCGAATATCCACAGGCGTGCACATTAGGGGGGAACAACATGAAAAACGCAATTTTTTCTTTGTGTTATATAACTTGTTTTGTCAAACTTCAACATTTTGAGAAAAACAAGGTCATATTCGGGATCAGGATCAAATACTGGATCGAATGACATAGGTCTCAGTGTTTTGGAGAATATCTGGAGTTTGAGTGAAAACTTTCCTAAAAGAAATAACTGATTTGTGAAAAAGAACGATTCCCGCTACTGTTTATTCAAGTGTCGATTCTTTTTTGTGACCACAAAGCATTGTCGGAAAATCTAGTATACTGCATTTTGTAAACAATCTCAAGAGCTACAAGAACAAAATAAAAATTTTGAAAAAAAATATCACGACATGAGGAAAATGGCGAAGGTAGCAAGAGGCGAAGGTAGCAAAAATCACTTTTCTGATTTCATGAAAAAAGTCTTTTTTCATGCAAAATAAAGTGTTTTATATAAGTTTAGACGATATACATGAAATCTAAACTTTTAAGTTTGAATTTTACTTTGCTCGACGGGCTCAGGAAACCTCTCTTAAGTAATAATTATAACAAAATATTTTTATTTTTCATAGACATTTCTTTAAGTAAATAAGTCTGTACCTTGTTTTCAAGACCAGATAACTGAACATTCTCTAGGGTATACGCCCTAGCCCTCGAGATATGTCTCTAACATTCTCAAGTTCTAATATTCTAAATAATCTTGTAGACTTACCTTTTCTACCCCGGGAAAACATTTTGTCCTGATCCGGAGCTTAATCGTATATGCCTTAATTACAATCTACTTAAACAATAAATATTCAGACATTCTAATTTACATTTCACTTACTTTGACAAATGGTGGTGCAAAAGTCGTTCTCCTCCAGCACGATAATTTTCTGTTGCTGTATATTCTTTAGATTCGTCATTGTGTCCAGGTTGGTCGCTTGAATGCAAATCTTCTAATGTTAGTCTCGCATTTTCGGCTTCTTCATAATTTTTTGGATCTTTTCTATCAAGTTTATACTCATGATACTGTTCCGGTGATTTATCAATCATGAATAGGACATAACCGGTCATGAATAAAAGTATGTGTAAATTGACCATTGCTAAATGTTGTCGTTAAATTCAAGGAGAAAAAAATGAAATCAACTCGATAGTTATCACCGTTGTTGTTTATATCGACATCCTTTGTAAAGTCCAATCGATTTAAATACCACTTAAATCGACTTATACAAATAAATTCGACCTTAAAATAATAATAAGAAAAAACAGCTATTAGGGAAACTATCCAAAATAATCACTTGGTCTCAAAAGAGATAATAAACTGAGTAAACCCAAAAGAGATAATAAGTTATATTCCTAAAAGAGATAATAAAACGAAAAATGTGAAATTCTTGTAATCCCAAAAGAGATAATAAATTTAATTAATAATC